TCGGACCTCACTACTAGAGTAACATCTGCTTTACCATTAAGGGTTAAGCATAATGCACCAATAGCACCTACTCCGCCAGATCCAACAACAAGAACTTTCGATTTAAGTTCAGACATACTAAAGATAGAAAAAAAAATTTGATCTTTTCGATTATATTACATATTTGTCGATTATGCGCTCGGTTATTCAATGCAACATTTCTTTCAACTGAGACCAGCCATACTACACTGATTCTTCCTCGCAACATATAATTAGCATTATTAGCATACTTTTAACTATATATGGTATCTAGTACATTATACAATGCATAAATTCATCTATATAATGGCTACAAGTACTCAGGTTTAAACTCGCCTATTCCATCATAAGCAAAGAAGTCCTTAGATTGGATAATTTTCAACTCAAAGTATTTCATTACATCATCATTGACTTTACTTACAGGCATATCTCCATTTGAACTTGTCAAATTTTTATCCTTGCAATATGATTCGATTCCCAATTTATGGGTCAAGCTTAAAGTTTTCAGCATTATAGTAAGAACTTGGCTAACTGCTTTCGATAAACTTGGCACCTTTGATTCATGAAACCTTAAATTATTGTAAAGCTTGTCCAACAACAAAGCACTGAATAAATCGCCAACACCTGTGAAATATGAATTTATCACTGGAATGCTGAATATTTGTATTTTCTCTTCACCCATGGTGGAGATAGCGCAATATATTAAATCCTCGGAGCTCTTCTTTATGTCTGTCAAGCTCGATATCACGACATACTTAATGTTGAATTTTGAATGCAAATGGTTTATTGCAAGGTTTAGATCATTTTCAGTTTTAACCTTAAAGCCTACCAACAACTCCAATTCAAATTGATTCGGAGTAATAATATCGACTAGACGATCCTCCAATATCTTCTTGTATTCATCAACACATGATTCATCCACATATAAAAACCCCTGGTCTCCCATGACCGGATCTAATAAGTATAATAATTTATCATTGTTCAATTTTAACGACTTGATGTTTTCGTTTGTCACCGCAATTAATGATGCATTTGGGATATATCCAGTGATTATCGCATTATATGATACTTGGATATCATTCAATCCTTTAAAAATATCGACCAAATCGGCTTCATTAATACTTGAGCCTCTTACTGAACCATATCCAGTATGATTCGAAAAGTTCACAGTATTGATACTATCGACCTCCCAGCCCTGACACTGTAGTGGAAATATTGCCGCTCTCCCACCCACATATCCGTGAGACACATGTGATTGTATCGATAACACCGACTTCATTATAGCTTACAACCTTCGTTCATCTATGACTCTTGATGTTTAAATTTTTCATCTTACCCGTCTCGTCACGTGTGCGTATTGGACATTCAGTTCAGAAAATTGGAGGTGCATCTGAGCTTCTTGCAAAAACGGATTAATAGCTCAGTTGATCACATGAAGTAGTACTTCGTTGCAATTCCGGGAAACGTCGACTCCCATTCCACGCTGGAAGGATACGATTGGAAATCTGTCGTTCACACGAGATTTCACACCGCCATTCGTTCGACGCTTCCAACCAACCTCGGACCCACCATCACCACAGCGCTCTCCTTTGCCTCGTGTGAGTACTTATACAAAAGGCATCAAATGCTGCAAAGTCACTATGCTCCCTGGGTTCATGGTCACCCAGTGTGCTCGCAATGCAGTCTATAGGTCGTCGTTCTACTCCGGCTACGCTTTTGTATTCGATTGAGCCGCACCAGTCCCATCCACTGCCCTTTTTTTTCAGCATACTACAAGGCCATCGCCTCTTGCACCAAATATCCCCAATCTCGTCAGGTACTCTACTCTCGTCAGGTACTCATCTCTCGTCAGGTATTCATCTCGCTCATCTCCTCCTATCCTATATCCCTAACTGCCTACACTCCTATCCTATATCCCTAACTGCCTACACTCCTATCCTATATCCCTAACTGCCTACACTCCTATCCTATATCCCTAACTGCCTACACACTCTGTCCTAAATATAGCCTGCGCGCAACTTCTTAACTATCGTTTTCGGTCCTCTTCGTCTGTGTTCGCTCTTCATATTTATTCCGTCTAATTAAACACCTGTACACCCACTATTTATTTCCCTACACCTCTCCTCACGTGGATTAACAAAAGGGCAGTGTCGCTATCGATTCGTCCCATTACGTCATTGTCCCTCCCAAGGACCTCCTACTAAAAAATAAAACGCGATAAATTCCGCTAATGTGTGGTTGTTACTTACTGCTCCTCGTTTTGTCCTATGGAATGGGTCTGGATTTGCCGCACTTTGTGTAATTGTTCCGGGTTTCTCTATTATTCTTCACATGTTATGTATCATAATTTGCGCATCAATTTCTTCGCCACTGCGTTGAGAATTGGCGGATCATACACGACCATATCTATAATTAATTAATCCTGTTTCAAGTGTCAACATACATTAAATATAAAAGAGGATCATATTCCTTAAATATCACTAAATTGTAAGAATTTGTTAAATAATCTTTAATTGTTTTAAAAGTTATTTAATATTAGTAGTAAACTGGTTATTATTAAATTACAGTTGGAGGCTAAGAAAGATAATAATAGAATTATGGCCGATATTGTTGATAATTTGGAATCGTCGAATTTCAAATCGTCGCTCCCACCAAGAAAAAGAGCTAAAACCAAGGAAGAGAAAGAACAACGTCGTGTGGAGCGAATTCTCAGGAATAGAAGAGCAGCACATGCTTCACGTGAAAAGAAGAGAAAGCACGTTGAGTACTTGGAGAGCTACGTGTTGAAATTGGAAGACAACATGTCGAGGTTGCAGAGCAACTTTGATGGTGTGTGTGGACAGATGTCAGCGAAACAACTTGCTAAGATAGAAATGAAAGAGATGGATGATTTGCAGGACTTGAAGGACAAGATTCACACCAATCTCAACGGGTCGCTTTTGGCGAATGAAGGGGGAGACGACAATCTCGACGAAGAATCGACCCCACCAGCCGAACAACCGGATGTGAAGAAAAGAAAGCTTTCTTCGGCCAACAGCTGTAGTTCTTTGACTACAGACCTGACCGAGTCGGTCGAAGAGGAACAAGTGTCGTCCGACAAGGTGAACCAGATACCACACATCAAAATGGAACCCAATAGTGATTCTAACGAATTGCTATCGATAACGAACGAAAATGTTTACTACAACTACTTATCACCTATTTCGATCAACTCGCCTATCAATTCTCCTATTGATTTGACGTTGAAGAAATCGAGCGAAAACTTACCACCATTATCATTAGCCAACCACGACAATGATATTGATTCTTTAAAGGTGTACGATCCTATGGGGCAAAATTCAGAAGAGATTTTGTTGCCAAGGAGTTACGATCATCAATGAATGATTCTTGAAATGTTGATTGTTCTCTGCTTGTTTTCTGTAACACAGAGGCGAGGAATTAACCGGAGCTGTATATTAATTTATTTATGTCCGCCAGGTGGTGGTCTAAATTAAATTAATATACGTGGAATCTCCACTTTCCTTGTCTGTTACATAAAATTCACAGCATTGAAGTAACATTCTTATTTCAATTGAATGTATTTTATTGATGATTCCACGTAACTCTTTTTGGTCTGCAGCACCAATCGTACCTACTTTTATAGAATCAAATCCAAATTCTGACGATGAATTGGATATTGGTAATGGCCAAGATTATCAAAGTAGCATTGAACATTTTGATAGTTCCTTCGATTCTTTATTAATAAAACAAAATGATCATCATGATCCTTTAAACAGTATCGAATTGAGTGATTTAGTAAATATTGATGACTTTTTATCAATTTAATTTTTGGGTTTTTTTCATGTCACAGTTTATTTCGTTTGGTTTAATTTATTTCCTTTGAAAAAATGGGTTTGTATTGATCGAATATTCCACTAATTTAATTTCTCATGAAAACTTCAATAAGATAGGGCTGATGAATCTAAGTGCTTTCTCAGCAGAAGCATTAAGCGTATAAATATCTGGCGCGCCTTAACTGTGCAGCGACGATTTATGTGTCTTTTTCTATGTTGAATTCAGTATTGAGGTATGATGCCTGATCTATAGAGAAGTGTTGATTGTGAAATTTGGATATTTGTAATAGTAAATAAGATTTTAATAAATATTAGGTATTTTAACATGATCGTAGCAATCAGGAGATAGTGGTTCCTGATTTTTATAAGCTTTGTGTAACTGCATATTTCAGGGCCTGATAAGACTAATCCAAAAGTATATTACCTACCAATAAAAGGGGTCCATATGTTAATATAATGACAGCAATAACATTAAATGATCTAGGAGAAGACATTATATGTTCCAATATAGCAATTCATTTATCGCCTGAAGATATTTTTTCTTTATCTTTGGTGTCTCATAGTTTTTATTGCTATTTGACGACTAATGACATTTTTCATCTTTTATACTTGAAAAAATTTGGATCTAAACCGACACCTTTGAATTTATCAAGTTACAATTGGAAGGAATTGTTCAAACTAAGAAGTTCTAGTCAGGCAAAGCTCTATACATGGGGATCATCACAATTGGGTAGATTAGGTTACTTATTAAGAGATGCACCACCGGAAAATATAACAAATTCTGGGATTCTGAAAAACGTTCATACACCAACGAATTTGACGACTTTCAATGGATTTGTCATTAGTGATATTAGTGCAGGGGGGTTTAGCTTTCAAATTCTTACTAATGGGGGAGACTTATATTTTACAGGTGCTGACTGGAATAAGGGAGAGAGGTCTACTCTGACTCCTGGTCCATTTGAAACCTTTGATTATAAGTCAACCGCCGCTTCAATTCCTCGTGTTGAAAGCCTAGGCTCTAGAAGATCATTGAATGGTATACTGATGCCGTTTATGGTAAGAAGATACGATAGAGATATTGAAACACCAACCTCAACCCCACCTTCTGACAGACAAACAAATCCAAATTTAACGAAGCCACCTGATCAATTAGATTTAAGTCTACCAAATCGTACAGGATTTTCAATGAAACTTCAAAAGAAAGTGAAAGAAACAAATTTTGTCACGAAACTATTATTGCCCGATAACCCTGAATTTCCCGACAGATATGTCACTTCGATATCAAGTGGGAGAGAACATATTATTGCTATTGATAACTACCAAAATATAATTTCCTGGGACACCGGAAATACTAGTAATGTTGGGGTCCATATAAAATTTGAAGGATTAAGATATGGCTCAATAAATAAAATTTCTGCTGGTTGGAATTTGCTGGCGTGTTATATCAATCACATTGGTATCGTTGTTTGGTATTCTAGGACTCCTGTTACGAAGGAGTCATCTGAGGCTAATACCATGATTTCGAATGCAAATTACCTAGTCATTCCTAATACTAATAACTGTAAGATTGATGATTTTCATTCAGGTTGTGATTTCATATTATATATAAAAGATGGACTTTTAATGCGATTCAATTTGCACACTTATGGATATGCTTCCGGGTCTGTTGATAGGAATTTAGTAGAAGATCCGTTCCCCGTGTTGGGATTTGATAATTGGTTAAACAATTATAATATCGATAACAACGGTAAAGCGTCTTTCACCAAAATTACCGGTTGCTATAACAGCTTTTCGATCTTTACAAATGACGGCATGGTATTAATAGGAAATAAGGCTTTAAGTGACGAAGAGTCGGAAGAACCCCCGATTATCATACCTCAGCTACAAAAAAACCATATAATACATGTGGTAATAGGAGACTATCACTACATGGCCTTAACTGATGAAGGTGATTTATACAGCTGGGGTACTGAGTCAAGCAGATGTGGCTGTTTAGGTTTAGGTGCAAAAGATGAGTTTATTAGCCAAAATTCTAATAACGCGGTTACAGATTTAGGTCCAGGAAAAGGCATGGTAGTTCACAATCCAACATTGGTCAAATCGCCTTCGCCTGGTGGAAAATGGCTAGCTATTACTGCATCTGGCTGGAATTCAGGAGGTATATATGTCCCGAAGTAGTCTATATGTCGTATTAATTTAAAAGTATTTGTGGCCGGGTAATTGCAAGTCACCCTTATTCCCTTCAAAAATTCTTTACGCATACGATATTGATGATCAAATAAACTGTAAAGGCAAAACACAAACGATATTGATTATAAAAGAATTGATTTGGATATAATCTTACATGCTATAAACTTCAACTAGTCAATTAATTGCAAACTAAATTATAACTTAGCTTATTTTCTTATATTTAAAGTATTTGAAGTTCTACACTAACAAAAATACCCGACAGTATCCCATATCCAATTCCTATAGTATTAAATTTAAAGGGGAACTCACGAAACTACTTGTAGACAATAATTAACTTTCAGAAATGTCTCAATATAGTCCAAAGATGAATAACAATAACAACGACGATAATAATCTTTTAACCCCAACACAATCGCATCATTCTGCTCATACCGTCACAACAAGGAAGAGAAGGTCATCATCAATAATTCAGCATCTTGAGCCAGATACTTTAGAGACAAAAATTGATCAATCGTTAAATCCTAATGTTAATGCTAATTGGGTTCATTCTAAAGGTGCATGGGTCATTCACATCGTATTGATCTTATTTTTAAAGATATTTTTCAACTTTATAACAGTATTGAATAATGATTGGAAATGGACATTGACCAATTTGACGTATAATATTGGATCGTATATAATGTTCCATCAGGTTAAAGGGACTCCCTTTGAATTTAATTCCGGTGCCTATGATAATTTGACCATGTGGGAGCAAATAGATAATGGTGACCAATATACGCCAACGAAGAAATTCTTGATGCTCGTACCAATCAGCTTATTTTTGATTAGTACTCATTACTCCAATTATAATTTGAATTTGTTTATTTTGAATGGGGTTAGCTGTTTATGTGTTGTTGTCCCAAAATTGGCGGTATCACATAGATTGAGGGTTACCTTATACTAACGGATATTTTTCTTATCCCTATAAATGTTAGAATATAGTATCATAAGGTATAGAAGTATGCTAAAATATAGCTATATTGCAGTATAGAGGTATAGTGCAGTACATTAGCGTACGAAGGGATTACCTATCATTCGGACTATATACTGTGTGATATGCTCTTAAGTAATACCGACAGGTAGCACTAATGGTTATGTTTTTACTTTATTAATTAATATACAATGCAACGTGTATAACTTGTAGTTGTAATATTTGATCTAGAGATCAATCTAATATACTTTATCGCATAATAATGCTATTGAATATAATTATAATGACTCCGCTGACTCGGACTTGATAAATATTAATGAGCACGATTGCGTGATAGATTAAAAAATTTATTGCTATCTTTTTCGAAAACGAACTTTCAAATAGTTAGGTAACTAATTTTTCCTTTCTAAAGATACTCCTATATTGTAACAATTAACAATGCCATACGCGTTATCTGAATCTCACAAGCAATTAGTCGAAGGACACTTGAAGGACATTGATCCTGAAGTTGATCAAATTATCAAGGATGAAATCGATAGACAAAAGCATTCCATCGTTTTAATTGCCTCTGAAAATTTTACTTCAACTGCTGTTTTTGATGCCTTAGGAACTCCAATGTGTAACAAGTACTCTGAAGGTTACCCAGGTGCCAGATACTACGGTGGTAATGAGCAAATCGACAAGATGGAAATTTTGTGCCAAGAAAGAGCTTTGAAGACCTTCAATGTTACTTCTGATAAATGGGGTGTTAATGTTCAAACCTTATCTGGTTCTCCAGCTAATTTGCAAGTGTACCAAGCTTTGATGAAGCCTCATGAAAGATTAATGGGATTGGATTTACCTCATGGTGGTCATTTATCTCACGGTTATCAAACCGACTCTAGAAAGATTTCGGCTGTTTCAACCTACTTTGAAACTATGCCTTACAGAGTTAACTTAGACACCGGTTTAATTGACTACGATATGTTAGAAAAAACCGCTGTCTTATTCAGACCAAAAATTTTAGTTGCTGGTACTTCAGCCTACTGTCGTCTTATCGATTACAAGAAGATGAGGGAAATTGCCGACAAGGTTGGTGCTTATCTTGTTGTTGATATGGCGCATATTTCCGGTTTAGTTGCTGCTGGTGTAATTCCTTCTCCATTCGAATATGCTGATGTTGTCACTACCACTACTCACAAGTCCTTAAGAGGTCCAAGAGGTGCTATGATCTTCTTCAGAAGAGGTGTTAGATCTATCAACCCAAAGACCGGTCAAGAGATCTTATACGACTTAGAAAATCCAATTAACTTCTCTGTCTTCCCAGGTCACCAAGGTGGTCCTCATAACCACACCATCGCAGCTTTAGCCACTGCTTTGAAACAAGCTGCCACTCCTGAATTCAAGCAATATCAAGATCAAGTATTGAAGAATTCCAAGATCTTAGAAGAAGAATTCAAGAATAAGGGTTATACTTTGGTTTCCAATGGTACCGATTCCCATATGGTTTTGGTTTCCTTAAAGGATAAACAGATTGATGGTGCCAGAGTCGAGACTATTTGTGAAAAGATCAATATTGCTTTAAATAAGAATTCTATTCCAGGTGATAAGTCTGCATTAGTCCCAGGTGGTGTTAGAATTGGTGCCCCAGCTATGACCACCAGAGGTTTAGGTGAAGAAGACTTCAAGAAGATTGTTTCTTATATTGATTTCGCTGTCAATTACGCTAAGGAAATACAAGCTAACTTACCAAAGGATGCTAACAAGTTAAAAGATTTCAAAAACAAGGTTTTGAATACTGAAGATGAGAAATTACAAGCTGCTAAGAAGGAAATTTCCCAATGGGCTGGTGAATTCCCATTATCAGTCTAATTCAGTTTCCCTATGGCTTATTTTAATTATGTAAGTTTATGAAAATATGTGAATTATATATATATATATATATATCTAAAATTAATCAATAAGATGAGAATCTTTAAAAATCTCTGATAATTTACCTTCCTTTGTCCACCTTTTCAAATCTTCTTCAGTGCCTAGAATTTTTCCATTGAAAAAGATTGTTGGAACCCATTTTCTACCTGCGATTTCCGTAAAGGCTTTCTCTAATTCTTCTGCTTCATTTTGATCTTCAAACTTATCTAACTCTATGATGTAAATTTTTTCCTTAACATTGTACTGATTCCAAATCTCGTAGGTATAATGACAATCAGGACACCATGACTTAGATAACATTAAAAAGGGATGATTATTGATCAACTCTTGTGCCCTTTCAATATATTCCTTAGTCATTCTATTACAATTTTCTTTGACTTCCTTAATTCTGAAGGAGACTAGTGGGTCGAAATTATGCGATGAAATAAATTTCCCGTGCAAATCGGCCGCTCTACTCCGTTACTCCGTATACTCCGACCAAGGGAAAACTATTCAAACTTCTAAATGCTCTCATGATTAACATATAGACATTTATTAATAAACCCCATATAGAAGCATATATTATGACTTTAATTGCTTCTTCGTTGAGTTGTTACAATTATGAACATGCCATGTCAAAAAATGGCCTGACGGCATAAAATCGCTATTACCCTGAAATTTCGCGTGAGAACTAATGAAGTGAAAGACCCCGAAAAAGCATTGTCTTCCTCTATTTCTTTAGTATAAAAATATAAACCAACTATGTTAAGCTTAAAATTACAGACAGCAGTTGACGATATCGTGAACCAATTCACCGTTACTGAAGAATTTCTTCAAGATGCGACTAAGGAATTTACTAAATCAATGGATACTGGTTTACAAAACACTGCGTCGAAAAGAGAATATATGCCAATGATTCCGACATATGTCACTGGTATTCCTACTGGTAAAGAAAAAGGCTTGTTTTTAGCAGCAGATTTAGGCGGTACTAATTTTAGAGTCTGTTCTGTCAATCTTCATGGAGACCACACTCATGAATTAAAGCAATCAAAATACAGTATCCCATTGGATTTGATGAAGGACTCTAGTGCCGATAGTTTATTCTCTTTCTTGGCCAAAAAGGTTGAAACATTTTTGAAGGATAATCATGATGACCTTGAAGCAGATGAGCAATTAAAATTAGGCTTTACTTTCTCTTTCCCTATCAACCAGACTGCTTTAAATAGGGGTACCTTAATTCGTTGGACAAAGGGGTTCGATTTGCCAGATTGTGTTGACAAGGACGTTGTTGAGTTATTACAATCCAACCTTGACTTGTTAGGATGTAAAGTCAACGTGGTGGCATTAGCTAATGATACTGTTGGTACATTATTATCAAGAGCTTATTCCAATAACCCTGAGAAAACTAACGCTAACACTATTGTAGGTGCTATTTTTGGTACTGGTACTAATGGTGCATACTTTGAAACACTTGATAATATTCCTAAATTAAAATCTACTAATATTCCAGAAGGTGCCAAAGGTATGGTAATTAATACAGAATGGGGTTCGTTCGATAACACTCTTAAAATATTACCTAAAACTAAATATGATGAAATTGTTGATTCAGAAACTGCTAATAAAGGGTTTCATTTATTTGAAAAAAGAATTAGTGGAATGTTTATGGGAGAAATTTTACGTGTTTGTTTGATTGATTTATTTCAACGTGACCTTATCTTTGTGGATTTATATAAATCTAGAGGTGGTTCATTACCTCACAGATTATCTGAAGAATGGTTATTATCTTCTGAAGTTTTGTCTTACTTGCAGATTGATGATTCAACTGACTTAAAAATGTCTGAATTAATATTAGAGAACGAATTAAGATTGCCTACTACTAAAGAAGAAAGGATAGTTATTCAAAAATTGACACAAGCTATTGCCCATAGAGCTGCTTATCTTTCAGCTATTCCTGTTGCTGCTATACTCAATCGTGTCAAGGGACAATTCTCTAACGATAATAGGGACTTTGAATTCGGTTGTGACGGATCTGTTGTAGAATTTTATCCGGGATTCCAGGCTTCCATTTTGGAAGCATTAGAAATAATCAATCCTTTAGAGGGAGAAAAGAAAAAGGTCCACTTAAAAATTGCCAAAGATGGCAGTGGAGTTGGAGCTGCGTTATGTGCCAGTACTGCAGAATAATATTTGAATTTTATATTAATTTCTTTATAGTTTATTAATTCAAAATGCTGGATATTCTTATTTGTCTTCATGTAGTGTATTTGCCTTGAACCACATTTAGATAAATAAAACTCCATTACTTGAACAAAAACAAGCATAATAAGTTATTTTCATAATTTATTTTTTTGGTATGTTCATGAACAAGTGCCTCTTAACGAAATTTTAGTAAGTTTCGAGTTCGTACCACTACATGAAAAATAAACTATAATTTACTTCATTGTTTAGCAGTTAACCTTTTGAACTAGTATCTGTTGAAATATATTATTTTATGAGAAGTCAGAATTAGTTGAGAAATTATATAAAGAGGCTGCAAATTATCTTACTATCTACATATTCCCTTAAAACCATAAGGCCGTCTTATTTTTTATTGTCCATTGATAACGAATAGTCTTATTATTACAATTGTTCTAGTGTATGATGAGTTGTCATTGGGTAACTTCTTAAACAATGAACGCTGATAACAAGCCTTATTGTTCTGTTGAATCTTGTTGAAGTAAATTTTCAAACGTAGCATACATTGTCATTGTCAGTATCAGGTTCAGTTAACAGTTAATCAGTTTCTCAGTATTAATTATAATATATAATTTACTTAATCTCTATATAGGTTCTGTATTTTAGGAGGTCCAAAGACCTCTTTATATAGTGCAGAGTTCCCACAAGAATAGGATTACTTCTCCGATGTTTCCAAACTAACATCCAATGAGAAGACAGATTCATGAGAACATGAGGCTTATACAAAAGCCTGTTGTCGGAGATCGAAACTATCCGATGATAGCTTGTATCGGCATAAGGCAAATGTACTTTTCATGGTATAACAATGAAGAATCAATATTATATATAATTTGCAATCGCTTTATATAATTTCTCAATTTATTCTGACTTCTCATAAAATAGAATAATATATTTCAACAATGCTAACTAAGGGATTGAATAAGGTAAAGTTCACAGATCTTNGTGGGTTAGCTGGAATGACGAATTTTAGGATTAAGGGGAGGTAATGAAATATTTAGTAATAAAATATTTAGTGAGCATACGATTTATTTGCGAAAATGCAAACTGGTTGCAAATTCAAATAAAATACTAATGAAATATTTAGTAATAAAATATTTAGTGAGCATACGATTTATTTGCGAAAATGCAAACTGGTTGCAAATTCAAATAAAATACTTGATTGGGTTAGGAAGTTGAATGTTACCAATGAATATTCCCATTCTGAGATAAATGGGATGACCTATGAACTAAGAAATTAATTGATTAAACTATTCATTACTGGTTTGAGTAATGAACTTTAATTATCCTGAGAAAATTAATTACTATTAATGGTAAAGAGCCTAATTAAGTAATCCCAATATTCTACTATATAAGAACTTCAATCTGGAAGATAGTCAGATTGTATTTTAGACAGCAAGTAATATATATTTGATATTATTGAATATTGATTATTGTGTAAAACTGTTATATTGAGTAAAAATTGAAAAAGATAAAAATGAATACTGAAATGAGTTCCCCTTTAGAGAAATTACTTCAAGATTAGTGAATTTACTGACACTGAACGGAATGTGATTAGACTTAAATTTGATCTGATTCTTAACAAGCTTTTGAAAAAGTGCATTACGTCTGCTGTTTATGCAACGACTGCACTAAACGTGGTTTACGTGGACTTAGCTTATGGCATACTTTTTTCACCGACTATGGAACTATTTCTGTTAAGCAGAATTTAGAGCTCCATTCCACGTTAACTCGTCAGTTTTTTGATTCTACTGCATCGCTTGCTGATAAGATACAGCTTCTTGAAGATGCTGACCTGGACCTCCTTCCTTTAGATGAGGGCCAGCGAATTATCTTTTTCCATAGTTGTGTGAATAACAGCACTGTTAAGAATGCTATTGTTCGTCTTGACGAGTACGTTCCTTCCCG